CATGAGACAGGTTTAGTATTGTCAATGTTTTAACGGTGTTCCTATCACGCTGGAAGGTGAGATCTGGCACCCTTCACGCCAGTGATTTCCCCATCCAGGTATCTCCCGTATCGATGCAGCGTGCAAGCCGCGACAAGCTCGAAGCTCCCGAGATATGTGGTAGTGTAGTGCATGTATGATTCTGAGAGAATAAGAAAAGGAAGAGGAATGAAAGATCGCGCGTGGTCCGTGGCCAGTTTGTTAAAAAATTGCTTCGAAATCACCCGGTATTGATCAACGAAAAACGTACAACTACCTATCAGAGCCGCTGTTTGCTGGAATTCTCCTCCAGATGGTGTCTATCTAGTTGTAAAAATCCACCAGCGTCGGGACTCGAACCACCCCTAGAACCACCTGGTGAGAGTCGCTATAGAGAGAAAGGTGGTACTGGATCTGAGCCAACTCAACCGGACTGAGGTGGCGATCACAGTGGATTCGATTTCGCTCGAAATTTCGGTCTTCCGATATCGGACGGACAAAATCAAATGAAACAGATGTTCGTCCGACCGATCTTTTCAGAACGTTTTTGAACGGAAGATGTCGTTCAGGTTCACTATGACCATTCCCATTTACTATCAGGCGTTTGAACGAAGCCGGCACAACGGACAGGAACGTTCGACGTCGGGCGTCCCAAATTTCGGCCAAAATCGTCCCTATTGTGGAGGCCGGAGGCCGGTGTGAAGACGGCGATTGCTTGGGTAGTTGACGCGGCCGCCCGCTGACACAACCGGGTCCCTGTTGGAAACCACCTTTCTTCAGGTGAATCGCATTGGAAAAACATATTTCGCTGATCGTGTCCAAAAATGTTGATTGGCGGCTTCACGGTTATCAGCTGCCACATCTCTACTGTTTAAGGCCATGACGCCATGCGTTCGGAATCGGTGAGAGTTCGAGCTCTATTGCGACTCACGCACCGAGCGCTAATTACGGAATAGAATCTTTGAGAGGAACCAGTTGACCACATCATGGGGTGCAGTCTGTTGAACATATCATGGAATACAACCAGTTGACCTCATAATGGGGTAGAATCATTTGGGCATCTGGTGGGGTAGAGTTAAATGACCACATTATTGGGTAGAATCAGTTGACCACATCATAGAGTGCAATAATTTGACCACATTATAGCTGCATAGTTGCCTAGCTCACGAAGATGCGCACGGATATTTTGTCCTATTGACAGAGCTTGACCCCTTCTATCTCAATCACCTCCCTGAAGGTTGCATTTTTCACAGTCCAAGTACAAGGCGATTCTAAATTGCTTACGGCCCTGCCAGTTGGAGCATTTGCTATTCATTATGATTGCATTTACGCAAAAAGCAATTTGGAAATCGTTGTTTTTCTAAAACCTCAAATAAATATTATTATGGCAATACGAAGGGTTGGAGATTAAAAAACAGTACTTTACGACAGAATGCATGAATCACGTATACCAGTATACTACACATTGCCTCACAATAATGCGTGCATAATATTCAAAGTGTGACACCTTAGACGTCAAACGCACGATAATATGGATGCAGCTATGAAAGAGTGATAGTCGCGCAGTGAACTTGAAGCCTACACTTTCACCGTTTCCTCGGAGCCGTGCCTTTTGAACGAGGAAGGTTATGCTTCATAGCGCTGGGATACAATGTACCCAACATTTAACCATGCAATTGTATTGTTTTAGGATATACGGAATACGCTTACGATTTCGCCAGAAGAGGATTTCAGTCACGACTGGGGCTCGGATTCTGATGACACGTTATCTCTTCATTGGTGCATTGTAGACGTAGCTTACTTGTAAATGAATGATTATCATGACGTATAGATCATAGAAATGTATAGTTATTTCGCTTCTTTTTATCACTTCCATTTTTCAATTTCTAGTTTATTTTGTGGACATTTGTCTCTTTATTACGCATTTTGTTTCCATTTTTTAATTTTGTTAGTGAATGTTTAATGAATTTACAATGAGAACTAAAACAAAGTTTTTATTGTAACATCAGTTCATGATCTGATCATCAGTTCACACTAAGTTTTTTTAACTACTTTCTTTTAAACTACTATCTGCCAGAAAATCTGCGGACAAAGTCATCAAATACAATTTTCTACTGTATAATTTCGTTGATAAAATTTCCGACCATACATTCATTGGCAAAGAGTGGTCATCTTGCCCTCCACATGCCCTGGAACAGGGTTGTCCAATTGGCGGTTTGCGGGCCGCATGAGGCCCACAGTGCCATTTAATGTGTCCCGTGAGACGTTATTAGTGAAAGTGAATGTCTCATGCATCCATGTCTGGCGAGAACCTTGTGCGCCTAGCGCACGCGCCCTTTTGGGGCCAACACTCCCTTAATGTACAAGTCCGTTAAGTGCGGATTTAAGGATTTTTTTCTAGTAAATTCATAAATTCAAAATCATGCAATGTGTTTCACTGCTTTATATGGACGGACTGGTATCACGCATGGTTCCATTACCCCCCCCCCCTTCCCGTTTCAGAGCAGCCAGGCAAACGAGATCAACAATTACAAGAGCATTACGTGAGTATCACTCGAGCAATAAAATATGGCTAGTAACCATACAAAAGGTTTTAGATATCGCCCTTGAGGCCTTGCAAGTGGGACACCCCTGCCCTAGAAGATTGTAACATTTATTCTGAGACGGCTGTACCTGCGCCAGTGGCGACGTGGCTGCCCGGGGAGCCGGCGGCGGCGGTGGCCGTGGCGCCGGCGCGGCCGGCCGCGCTCCCACGCGCGCACGCCGCCCTCCACCAGCGAGTAGAAGTCGCCCGCGCCGCCCACGCACCCGCGCGGCGCCATCAGCAGCTCCACCGACTGCTCCGCCTACGGAATGCGCCACGGAGGAAATGCACGGGCGGGTGCCTCCGGCGCGCCGCGTTGAGCTCCTTCCGCGCAACGCGAGTTTGCGACACGAACCACGTGACCAAAGGACGGGCACTTCGTTTGAAAAGCCGCAACAGACGCTGGCCGCCATGTTGCGTGGAGAGCGAGAAGTGTTGAGAAACATTTTGAAAGTCGCATAAAGTGACAATTTTCAACGATAACCAACCAAATATAACACAATGGTGTACAAGATTCAATATTTAAAAGAAATGCTTCATAAATCTGTTTTAATGTCTTGTAACGAGGGGATAATTTAAAATTTGCATTTAAAATTCCCTCTAATATTGTGACGCAAAGTGGTGTCTGAAGCTCATTGGCTTAAGTCGGATGACAATGCGCAAGAGTCCACCTCGATTGTGCGCATAGCGTTAAAAAAATCGACTGTTGGATCTCTTATAAAAAAATCGATTCTCTAAAATATCGCCTTTAGAAAATCGATTCTCCAAGAATCATTTTTATAAAATTAACAATTATGAAATTAACAATAAATTAATATTTTGGTTTTTTACAGTAATGAAGGTTCTTCCTGGAAGAGCAGGGAAGACTGAAGAAGAAGATTAGGCGCTAGAAGACCGAAGTAGCGGTTAAGGAAACGGTAAAAAGTGGAAGACAATAATGAATAAATAATAACATTTTTGGATATATTTTATTTTACAAAATAAAATATTAAGCAATTGTGGATGTTGACAAGTATGCAGAATGATACTATTAATGGACCTGCTTATAAACGCCATTTCTTTTACAATTGAAAGTTTAATTGGAACTAATACTATGATTTTCAGTGGTTTAGCTATTCGCCTGCCCATGCGCCGTTAGCTCAAAAGGCACCACAGCACTTCAACAAACACACGAATACCTCGCCGTCCAGATCCTGTGCAGGAAATACTCGAGAGGCAGGCACGACGAAATCGATTCCATCTCGAGGCAGCGAAAATTATTTGGATGATCCCACACAAGAACGAAGAGATACATACGCCACACTTTGATTAAAACTATCTGTTTATTTCCTGCGAGAGCACAGCAGCACATGTGAGAGCGTAGGCTTCTGCGGCCGACATCAGTACTTACTTGGCTGACCGGGGGCACAGGAGGCAGCGTTTCGGTCGCCATTTTGCAACCTTGATGAGGGCCTGATGAAGGTCGCAGAATGGCGACCGAAACGTTGGCACCTGTGCTCTTGACGCGGCGTCTCTAGGATAGCCAAGTAAGTACAGCGGCGCATATTTTGATTAACATTTTATTTCGAAGCCACTGGCACGGAATTTAGTGAAATAAAAAAGAAAAATATATGTACATTTATATGTATTTTTGTTTTCCACAAATTGTAAAAAAAGAATAGAGAATTTGTAAAATAAAATTCCATTATAGGGATTGAAATAAGATAATATTGCAATTTTAAAAGTTAATATTAAAACATAGTATTTTATTACAAAGAAATATAAAACTTCGTTAAAAAAGTATCCCCTATTTTACCTTAAAATACTTCGCTAAAATAATATGTTATTATTTTATTGCAAACCCTACTTGCAGCTTTCCGTTCAGCTTCGTGCTTCGGATGGTAAATGTGCCAATCGATTAGAATACATTTTACATATTAAGTTTACGTTTCAGGAAAACGAGTCCGCAAAAAATGGAACATTTTGGCATATGACGCCACGATAACATTGTCAGTTTTTGCAAGTAAAAATTACAGGCGCAATCTTTGTTTTGTGTGTCTGATAAGATCAGCTGGGATTTTCCTTGAGGAATTCCAGACGTCTGATAATCTAAACCTTAAGAAGTGGTTTCCTTACAAGGATTCTCGTAATCGTACGACCACACCGTACTCTTATTTTAAAACCTACATCATTCATTCATAAATCAAATCTGCGAATAGAAACCCAATCTGATTCACACGGAATAATAATAAGTCTTGACATGAGGGTGTTAACTGTACGACAATTTCTCATTAATAGGGTCAAGCTTCATCCGGTTACGAGCTAAGCGAGGTGTTGACAGCGGGAACCAATCAATCTGTCACATTGTCTTGATATGAGACAAGACTAGGCATTTTGTATGATGGACGTAAGTTCTTGAGATCGAACAGTTACGTCAATATTCCACTTAAGACTCAAATATATGGCTATTTACCCAGCAATGTCAGGAATGAATGACACATATTTTTTAATATAAAGTGTGCAGCTTTGGGTTTCGCCAACAGTGCACTTTAGACAGACGTTCATCCCTCGAAGATGAATTGAATTTCCGAAACTTTCTGACCATCAGGAACATGCACCAAGAATTCGCGTTGATATTTTTTATTCAAATGTATATAACTATTCTAAAACTTGAATGAGTCGTTGTGAATGTTAGGTTTGTTGATTCACATTTCACGCGCATTCTTTGAGAAAATATTATTGTGAAGTGCTGGAATTCTCCAAGGCCGGCTTCTTTTTTCTTATCGTATCAGCATTGGCAGGAGATTTATTTTGTTAATCTCTTTACGCATGCGTGAACACGTAAGAATCTTCAGTCGTAAGACGCGTGAGGCATAAGCTCTATTTCCACTGATAAATTACTTCAAGTATGCTGGGATCGCGCAGTTGTAAACTCAATCACACTTTCCCTCAGAGTAGCGATAGATGTAATCTGCCACGCGTCTGAGCGGCTCTCCCTTACGAAGTATCTCCAATGTCAATGCTTTTCATTGAAAGGATGACGCTAGAGCAGTGTCGCGTCCAAGGGAGAGCGAATTGATGATTGATTGATTGATTGTTAGTGATTTCGAGCGCGTCAACTACTAAGATCATTAGTCCCGTAAATGTAGTGTACGTCTTTCTCGGGATGTGGCGTCGGTCTTCCCTCGCTGGACGGCGAGATCCGACGCCAACCTACCGTCGGCTACCGGGGTACCTACCTCCCAACCTGTGCGTCCCCGTCGGTTAGATTTTGAATTACATCACTTCGTTGGAGGTGCCTCATATTTCATCTTATTGTTGCTTAAATCAGCGAGCTGTAATTCAGTTTTAAGTAAGTAAACCGTTTCTGACTGGCTGATTGATTGTTAGTGATTCTGGACGCGTCAACCTACTGTCATCGGTCCCGTAAGTGTAGTGCATGTTTTAGCGATGGTCGTGGCGGTTGTCTTCCTCCAGTGGATGGCGAAATTCGGCTCCGATCCCCCGTCGGCTAGCGGGTTTCGCCCCCCAAGGTACCTTCCACCAGCAAGATTCCGCCCTAGCCGGGACAAGCTCTGATCTCCAAATCGGTATCAGGTCTGCGTGGTAGTCGTGTAGGTCATCTAGATAACATTTTATTCGGAGGATGGTACATACAATGTTGTCCACGAGGACCTTCAT